ATTTCGGTTTTTGGAATTTTTTGGTTTTCAGAATGGTTAGGGTTTTTTTTTATTTATTTTTTTTATGTTTTTTTTTTATGTGTGTATTAGCCCACCCGGGCATAGATCACTGACCCACATTGGGGCCTGGGGGTCTAAAATATAATAAAAATTATAATAATAATAATAATAATTCATAGGTCTAGGTCGTGTTTCTCACTTTTGATCTTTTTTTCATTCTTGTATTTCTTTACTGTATTATTATTTTATTATTACAGTATTATTGTTATTATTATTATTATTAATTTTATTATTATATTTTATTATTATTATTATTATTATTATTATTATTATTATTATTATTGTAATCATTATTATTTTATTTTGGTGTATAATTATTAAAAATTTTATTTACTATGAATAATTATTATTATTATAATTATTATTACTATTACATTTTCGCCCCCCAGGCCCCGATGTGGGTCAGTGATCTGTGCCTGGGTGGGCTAATAATCCCTGAAAAAAAAAAAAAAAAAAAAGAGCCCCACAAAAAACTTTCGGTTTCTAGAGCTTTTCGGTTTTCGGAATTTCGGATAAAGGGTTGTCAACCTGTATATAATAACTTGGTTGGGAGAAGCTCAAACTACAGGGCATTTCAACATAGTGACAGTGCCAGTGGTGGGCACGGTTCCGCTAATTAGCGAAGCTAACTTTCTCGTTAGCGGATTAGCGTTTTCGCTAACTTTGGAAACCATTAGCGGACCAATTAGCTTCCGCTAAATTTAGTTCTGCTAACTTTAAGTCCGCTAACAAAATTTTAACATGTTTGTTCCTGTCTGTTGTAAGCGTGTGACACCGCGACGCGTGTCTCCAACAGCCAGTCAGGCAAGCTTGGCTGACTGCGTGTTTATTTACATGACTAAGACCAACAATAAGTTATAAAAAAATGCACTGGTATAATGTGTATGTGGTTGGTATTGCATATTTACATGAATATGAATAAGGCCGATCGGTTTTATGAGAATGCAAATTAATTATTTGTGAAATTGTGTACAGTGTACACCTTGATAAGTTGATCATCATCTGATCTTGGCATGATGCTATTTGCTACCTATGCTATACAGTACTATAGTTTTTGGATTCGTTTAATACTTTCTGTCTTTTTGTACAGTAAATAAAGATTATAAAGTGTATGTTGAAATGAATGTAAACTAATGTTTAATTTCATTTGTTCATTTAATTATTTGTGTACACCTTGATCATCATCTGATCTTGGCATGCTATACCTTTTTGGAAAGCTCTAATGTCTAAGCTACAAGATAACATATGAAAATTTCAGCTCTGTAGGTGTGTTTTTAAGGGTTTTAGAGCCAAAAAAACAAACAAACCGAAGCTAAATTCATATAATAAAAGTTAGCAGTTAGCGTTAGCTTCTGCTAATTTTTTTAGCTGTTTAGCGGTTTAGCGTTAGCGAAGTTAACTTAATAGCTAGCAGATTAGCGGTTAACGAAGCTAACTTTTCGTTTAGCTGTGCCCACCACTGGACAGTGCAAAAAGTAAGATTGACTGGGAGTGAATACAGTGGTTGATTACAAGTTATTGATAATTTTACAATGGTTGGGACTGGGCTGTTCTTATAGCAATCAGCTCGTGCTCGTATGGGCTGGATGCGGTTGTGGTGTCAAACAGCAATTCTCGGGCGAGGGATCTCAGGAGGTAGTAGGAGTCGGTGTCGAGGATGGTGCAGAAGCTTTTCACCAAATTTGCAGATGAGGTCGTGGTGATGGTCAGTGAGAGCTGAGAGGGTCAGTGTGTTGAGCGCTTCTTGATATGTGGAGTAGGAAGGGGAGAGAATAATCTTGCATGCCCTCTTTTGCACTTTTTCTAGGTGTTTATGTTGTGTGACCTTTAGGGAGGAAGACCAGGTAGGGGAGGCATAGGTGAGCTTGGGAAGTATGAATGTTGAGTAAACACTGAGGAGCTCGGGTGCAGGAACTCCGAGGGACTTGAGTCGGCGGAGGAGGTGGAGACAGAAACTGGAGGATTTGACAACTTCACTGAAATGTGGTTTCCAATTTAGTTTGTTTTCTATGGTGACGCCGAGGAGCTTAATGGAATCTACAACCTGGAGTGTGTTGGGACCTAAAGTAATGGAAGGGGGTGGGACAACGTCGGAGGAGAGGTTGATGTGCATAACCATGGTCTTGGTATGGTTGATGGTGACTTGGTTGTTGGTGGCCCAGTTTGGGAGACTGTTCAATAAATCCTGAAGGGCGGTATTGTCGGGAGCCGAATTGTTGACACTGATCCCAATGGTGGAGTCGTCGACATATTTCCAGCGAGCAGGGGTTTCTCTAAGGGCATCATCGATAAAAATAAGGAAGCATAGTGGTCCCATCTTGGTGCCTTGGGGGACGCCACAGGTGAGTGACTGAAAGGTGGAGACAGCCCCTCGGAAGCGTACAGCTTGGCGTCGGTTTCTGAGGAAGTCTGTAAGCCATGGTAAAAGACTTCTTCGAAACCCGAGGTCGATAACTTTGTTGATGAGTAAATTGTGGTCGACTAGGTCGAATGCCTTAGTGAAGTCAATGAAGGCGACAGCTACAGACGTTTTTCATTTCTCCAGATGGCGGTATATGTAGTCGAGAAAGCTTACAAACAGTGAGTGGTGGAGGAAGTTTTCATATTACCAAATTGCTGAGGATCTACGGCTCCTGCAATATCAGCATAAACCCAGTCACACACAAAACTTTCACAGATTAAGCTGGGCTTTTGGGGTGATTGCAATGGGTCGTAGCTGATTTAAGGATTGTGGGCTGGTTGACTTGGGCACTGGTGACACATAAGAAGTCTTCCAGTCAGCTGGGCATCTGGCTTGACTGAGAGAAGCATTGATGATGGAGCAGAGGGGTTTAGCAAGCTCCGGGGAGAACTCCTTGAAGAGTTTCATTGGTAAGTTAATGGGGGTGGTGGAGCGTTTTAACTTGAGTTTGTCCAGACGTTCTGCTACTTCAAATTCTTCTACTAAGTCAGTGGGAAAGGGGGCTGGTAGGTGAGCAGGGAGATTGGTTGTGTCAAGCCGGGGAGCGTCTGGCATATAGTAGCGAAATGGTTATTTGATTGCTCAGCTGCGTCAACATTAGTGAGATGGCTAAGGAAGGGGAGGGGGTGTGTCTTATTGTTTAGTCCACAGAGTTCTTTAAGCTTACCATACCACTGACTGATGTTGGTCTGCTTCAGGTGTTGCAATTTGGTTGGGTAGTGAGACTTCTTTGCAGTGCGTATTTCGCGGATGACTCGGTTGAGAAGGGACCTGTAGCGGATGTGGTCATTGAGATAAAAGGCTCTGTCTCTCTGTTGCTTAAGTCTTTTGATCCGAGGTGTGATCCAGGGCAAATCAGCTGGGTGAGATCTGACGGACTTCTCGGGGAAGAAGTGGTGGTGAGCTTCCGTGGTGGTGTTGGTATAATTTATCCGTTTGGTTTCCACGTCATCCAGGGATGGTGAACTATCCACCGCCCGAAGAGACGCACTGCAGAGTCAGTAATCGGCCTGTAGGTCTTAATTTAAGTAGGGTCTCTGTACTTGAGTGGGAGTGACAGCTGAGGACCAGAGCACTGATAGGTGTGTCCTACACCCGATAGGAGGCATTGGTTGAGGTGGTTGGTACTGGTCTGCTAAGTCAGTTAAGATAAGGTCAAGGGTATTTTGACCGTGTGCGAGGAAGTTCACAACTTGTGATAGTGACAGCTGGTCCTGGATATCGGTGGTGTCAATTTCATTATAATCCCCACATAATATTAACCTGGCACATGGGTACCTATCTCTTAGGTGGTCTGAGGTGGTAATGAGATGATTGATAAGAGTGTCTCTGGTGGGTGAGCGAGGCGGATGGTATGACACACAGATTATGATGGAAGCAGTGTGGTGCGGGAGGGCCCGTGGCACAGCACGTATGCATAATGCTTCCACATCTGCTGGGACTTGAACATCCAGGCGTGATGAGCGTAGGTCATCTTGAAAGAAGAGGGCAACACCCCCACCACTTCTATGTGAACGAAGGTGATGAAAGAGTTGATATCCCTCAATGTGACACATTTCAGGCACAATTTGCCAAGCCTCACATATGGCAACGACGCTAGCGGCGGCTGACCTGACTGGTTGCCAGCATGTCAAACTTGTTAGCTAGGGAAGTGATGTTGGAGAGCAGTAAAGACGGGAGATCATACCATATTCGTGGAACTTCAGTGTAATGGTACGGTCTGTCAGGGGTGGGCTTCTCTGGTTTCCTAGTGGAGGTTACGGTCCTAATGGGCTTATGTTTATGACGCCCCTGTCTATGGCTGCGCGCGTGGAATATGTTCAGTGACTTGAGTCTTGCGATAACACTGCCATCAGGATAACCGTTCCCACGCTTTAGAGGGTACAGAGAATGTTGGGAGTAAGTGATTGGTGGCCATCTGTTGATATCTGTTGTTGTTATTGTGGACGGACGAGAGAGAGAGAGTTGTGTGATTGTTTTAACCATCCGGTTGGGTTTAATTGTTGCAATATTTTGGTGAGAAATCATAATCTATAGGTGATAAATAATTAATATCAGCATAGTAGGGAAGAGTTGGCTAATAGTCATTAGTCTGATGCAAATTTCAGTGAGAACATAATTATAAGTTACATATGAGCTTTATGTATATAGTTTTTATTATTGTACATATCTTTACTGTTTCTACCTTTATATGTGTAAATATGTCAAATTGTCACCACAGATTATTTTTTGTTCTTTCGTCTTCTGAGTTTTAAACACTTTACGTAAACTGTGTTACTCTTTCTCCCGGAGCAAGTAGCTAAATATTTTAAAGGTAAATGGCCCCTTGACCCATTACTACAGCAATAACCATAACAGGCAGTATAATCTGAGTGGCTGCTAGCAAGTACATATTACAACTTGTGATCATATCCAACCTGGTAAGAATGAAATGAAAGAATCCCTTCTATCCACTTTTACAAGCTTTCTCCTTCTACAGCTAAGGTCACCCAGAATCCAGAACAACACAGAATTATCCCTTTTGCTGTCATTCATTCGCCTCACTCGGTTAACACCCAATGCTGTTGTTATACAGTCGCCTGCACATACTTGGTACAGTGGTTAGCGCATTATGTGAGATGTGGCAACTCTGTGGAATGCTTATCTAGCATCCTTATCTGGTTACTGTTGTAAAGTTCCTTATGGCCATTTTGGGAGTTTTAATACGATGTAAACAAACACAGAGGTGCCACATCCGAAAAAACACGTCAACCACTGCAGGTATACTGTAAGTGCAGGTGACTCTACATTGGTTTTGCTGTCTCTGGTGGAATAATAACCAATCCACTACACAAAGAATTACAAATAGTCTTGAGAAAATGGAGAGGATTGGCACAAGAAATAGTTAATGAAGAAAAAATAGTGAAGGAATAAAAAGACTTGCAAAATATAATTATACAGGTAATACTAAGTAGAAAGAGGTAAGGGTAAAATGAGCGGTTTTCTGGCGTCCATGAAAAATTGTATGACTAAGATAATGAGACAAATCCTTAAAGTGGTGCTACTACATTGTAAGTGTCACCACAGACCCTGACAGTCAAGACAGAGAGTAACCTCTTCTCTCTGGTTGATACTTCCATGGGTAATATTAAGTCCAACTGATCTATAATTCTTCTAAAGAATACATACTTCACTCATTGTCTTGTGAAGTTGTGTGGAAAAAACTTAAAACTTCATTGCACAGTTTTACAAGTAAAACATACTCTATTACAGTAACAAGGAAATGTGCTGATATTCCTCTATGTAATTTATTGATTGTTATTAAACATTTTTTTTTTTAATTTTGGTGGTCCTGCACAACAGTAAGCTGCAAGAGAATTATTATTATCTCAGGGTGAGTCAGCAGTGATGTGTAGCCCAAGTGGCGCTGATGAACTGCTGGAACTGTTGTTACCCAGGTAGGATCTTTACTGTGCACACAACTTCACTAGAATAGGGAAGAAAGTATTCTGTACATTTGGATGACATAGAGAAATTATTGTATGTGCAGATCTAAAAGAAATTCTGATTGAGATAAAGAATCAAGTTTGTGGACCTTGCATTTTAATTAACTGCACTCTCAGTTATTGTTGACATTGCAAGTTATTCAGTTATGTACATAGCAAATAGTCATTGAGTCAAGTTTATAAAAAAAACATTCTCCTAATTAAGTGATGACTCCATGAAAAATTGTGGAAACTTGTGTAAGACTGTTATTACTAACTTGTGACACTAACAGTTCTGTGGTTAACTTATGGTACTCAAAGTTCTTAATAGTTCTCAGTTTTCATGGACAGTTAAATTAAGACAAGACAAGCCAAGGAAGAAAACTTATGCATGTTAGAAATAGCAGTGATGTGAAGAACTATGTTTAACTATTGTTAACAGTTTACATCTGTCTGTTCTTGTTATTGCAATGGAGTCTTTATTGCAGAAGCAACTGTGATATGAAAGTTAGGGGGTAAAGAAGAAATACTGTACAGTATTTTAAACTTGTTTCTCTTATTGTTTTAGGGCCTATTAGTACCCACTGAAAAAAATAAAGTTAATACAGTATAAACCAAAGCTCTGTGCATGCATTTACCAAGTTTGGTTTAGTTGCTATTCCTCCAGGGATCACTCATCAAATTTTCAGGTGACAAGGAGTGAAGGGGGGGGGGGACCTGTACTGTCAATAAATAATGATAACATAGGGTGTAGATCTCACATCTTTTTGAACCATCCTTATGAACAAACCCCACCTACATATTCTATGTTTACTGTGACAGATGAAGCCTGAATAAAAGACACACATGAAATGCCATGTTACCTGTTAATGTTGTTATACCTTGTGACAGCCAAGTACCTGTAGTTTTAATTGGGACATTTGGTTGTTCTGGACAACATCTTTAGTGGCAGGGTGAGGGACATCATTTTGTATTAGAGTAAATATGAATTTTTTCTTCATTTAATTGCATTTTCCAGCACTGTTTATTAGTAGTGACCTGTTAAATTAATGGGTTTTTATATATTTATTTTGTATTTTAATATATCCAGAAAGTGAAGTCTGTAATTTGTTTCTTAATTAGTGAGTGTATATTTTGTCAACTTTTATTTTAGATGGCATTTGGAAGTCCTATATGTAATGTGAGTTCCCAGTAGGAGTGGCATGTAGCTTTGTATAGGTGTCTCTTGGAACACCACACCATCAGGTGACCACGACTAACCCATTGCAGGTGTGGAGAATGGCCTTAAAACAGTGAGGATGACTTTCCAGTTTCTCATAAATGGCCTAAACTGGACCTTATTACAATAACAACAGACCACCTGGGGTGCTAGTAAGAATTAAACGAATCTAAATTATAGGTAAGCTTTGATATGCTGGGGTCTAATAAGCTTAATAAGAATGGAATGGTTTATGATTAAAACTGCAAAAATTTACCTTAATTTTTTAGTTATTATAGATACCTGTATATATAGTTCATATATTTTGCCTAAAGTAATAGGAGCAACAACTGTAGAATACTGTTTAAATGTTTTACTGTACTGTACTGTATGTGTATTTTTGACCTACCTAATAAAGATACAGTAGAGATATACAGTATATTGATTATATAGCTTTGTGGATAAATAATTTTCAAGTATTATTGGAATTTGAAAAATTTCTTCATATTGACCTTACTCAGATATAAGTATATACTGTACAGTAGTATATATCTGCACTACCATAGAGCAAGAGTTTCATTATGACATTGTTGTGACAGGACAGTACTGGTGTGTGCAGAGTTGGTGCATAAGATGTCTCTGTGTACTTAAGTGAATATTGTTTTGCTTCTACTTTTATAGTTTGGTAATGTAATGACTTTTAGTTGTTGTTATTCTTTGATTATCACTACGTTACAAAAGCCTAGAAACTGTGATGAACGGTGATATAGGTCATGTATTAATTGTTTAAGATAATGGGGCCCTGGTGAGACTTGTGTTCTCTCTCAAGTCTCAGAGTAACCACAACCATTTCTCAGGAAAACATTAAGTAAAGCTATTGCAACACAGTGTGCAGTTGATAGCAGCAGCAGCAGTAGGTTAGTGGTGGAAGCAGAGCCTAGACCTTACAAAGGAAGGTCTTGGAGGCTTGAGCTTGGTGTCATATTACCTGTTCAAAGTCAGTCTTCGCCCACACAAGGCTTAGTCATGTATGTGTGAGTAATTTTGACATCATAAATAAATATGCTGTTGGAAGACTGCAGCATTCATGTATACAGTAGATTCAAGATTCATTCCTATTTGAGAATCCACGGAGTTGTTTCAGTGTGTGTGTGCGTGGGGACATTTGTTCTTGATGATTGAAGTATGACACAAAGTTCTACCCTCCTAGTAATGTTATTGAGGCCACAATGAAATATTTAGGAAGCAGTATAGGTTTGATCTTAAACATTTATTCATAATACTGTACCATTAAGTTCAAATTTCCACTTCTTTTGAATTCTGTCTCAGTGGAGCAGGTGATCTGTAATTACTTTATTGCTCAAGTTGCAGATTCTATGTTATGTTATAAGTGGTATTGTGAAATAAACTCACTAATAACACAGTCAGTTTAGGTCAGTTGTATCACCATTAGCCTCTTGGAAATTATTGTAAATATTGTAAGTTGTTTGGCCATGACACAGGTGATTCAGTACACTACTCTGAAATAAGAATCCTGTGTTTGTTAGACTGCGGTGAGTCAGATTTCTTAATATTAAGGTTGAGGCTGGAAAACTGTGTGTAGAAATTTAGATCTCTAAAAAACATTATTTCAGTTGCCTGCCATATTTGTTTACTTTTATATTAATTGGATGACAACCAAAGAAAAGAACAAATGAATTCATCTAGTATTATAAAAAAAAAAAATCAAAGGGGTTATAATTATACAGTATGAAGTAATGTTCTCATGTCCATCTGTTACCTGCATCTTAACCTCCACCAATGCTGCTGCTGCTACTGTAATGATACGGTGATGTGCCACAATACCCATCTGAGAGGAACAAGGGATTATATAAACTATTCTTCATTACATGTGTGTTATGTGTAATTTCATGATTCTCTTGTTCACATGGCATATTAACCCTTACTCTCATTTTGATGTATGTATATTTTTATTTGTGATATTGAATTATATATAATGATGTGATTGTGTGGATACGGACGATGATGAACACACACACACACACACACACACACACACACTTGAGATAATATTGTGTGTTATATTTGCATTCAAGAAGTACTGTACAGTGAAACCCCCATCTAATGAACTAACGTATTATAGGGAGAGAGAAGTCCGTTATATAGAGGTGTTACCGTATCTCATTATTCCATCTTTTTGTCGTGATTCATTGGGATTATTTCTGGTGAACAAAAAAGGAAAAGTGTAATGAAGCAGACCATGTTTCTTATAAGCAGTCGCCGAAATTTGAACCAGAGTGGATAATAACTGGATGGAAAAACTCACAATACCGTACTGTTATGTGAAAATCAGTTTATAATGTAACCCATGTATGTATATTATGTATGCTGGATTATGTACTATGTATGTATATTATGTATGTGCTCCATTTATATTTATTCAGCCTAGCTAGCAGCGTGTGGCAATGTTATTACCATATCCCACACGCTTAATTAATGTGCCTGGCGACGTATGGAAGCTGCTAATGTATCACTTGCCATACGTCGTCTATGGTAGTTGACCAGACCTTAGCTAGGGAGCAGTGCTACCCACCTCTGTGTACATACTCTTATCCAGTAAACCGAACCTACAAAACTATACAGGTGTTTGTGTTCTCTCCTGTATATAGAACTTATTACCCAGAACATCTAACATGGCGCAGTGAGTAGGATTACTGGATAAGAGTATGTACACAGAGGTGGGTAGCACTGCTCCCTAGCTAAGGTCCTGGTCAACTACCATAGACGACGTATGGCAAGTGATACATTAGCAGCTTCCATACGTCGCCAGGCACATTAATTAAGCGTGTGGGATATGGTAATAACATTGCCACACGCTGCTAGCTAGGCTGAATAAATATAAATGGAGCACATACATAATATACATACATAGTACATAATCCAGCATACATAATATACATACAACCCACACTCAAGTTTAGAGTCTTTCCATTAAAACAAGACAATTTTCATGTCCTCCAATGCCCTCTTGTCCACATGCCTAAAGGGGGACATCAAGGGACAGTGAGTTTTGATTTGAATTTGTAAGTACAGTAAGTCCTCGCTTAACGTCGTGGTTCCGTTCCTGAAAACTGCGGCGTTAACAGAAACAACATTAACGGAATCAATATTCCCCATAAGAAATAGATAAAATACTGGAGTAATATTCCTCAGCCCCCCCTTTGCCCCATAAAATACATTACATATACATAAATTCAATGGAATTTTTATAGAAAATAGTATATATTATACTGTACATCCAAAAATATAAATAAATTAAATCAAATTTCTATTGTACTCACTGATGGGCGGAGGTGGAGCGAGTGTGTGGTGGGTAATGGAGAGGAGGAGGGTGGCTCCTCTTGCTTTGAATGGGTGAGACAGGGTGATGCGCTGTACAAAGTAGTCCATGACAAAGTTGTACTGAATCGGTGGGACGTTGTCGGAATCATGGGTATCTAAAGAGTAGCGACGTTATAACGAAACAATATTGTCGGGGGCAACGTTAAACGAGGACTTACTGTACAGTTTTTAATTCCAGTTTATATTAATCCTCTTAAAAGTTCCATATAGTGGTAATGAGAAGACTATGTAATGATGTCTTGCTACTGGTTCCTTTAGTAATAAGTTACAGAGCAAGATTATATTAAGCATTCTTATTGTAAATGACTTGATCAGTAAAACCCAAAGAACAGAAAACTCGAGTAAACTTTATTCTTCCCGACTTGATGGAATCTCTTAAGTTTTATTGATCACCGGTTAATGTATTGTACACTGCGATACTCCCAAGTCTAGACACTTCAGTAAAGATAAACATCGTGTACGTTGTATTTACCTGCTTTCAACTCAGTAAGTTCAAGGGGTCTCTCTGTGCTGACTATAATCGTCCCCGTTTGGTCAGGTGAAATAGTAAAAGTGACGTCCAATGGTGAAGGGGTTAAAAACAATCTTAGCCATTAGAAGTGGGGTTTTCACAGCATTATAACCTAGGATAAACCCAGGCATAAAGTCACCCATCTATCTCCCAGTAACCAGGCATAAAGTCACCCATCTATCTCCCAGTAACCAGGCATAAAGTCATCCATCTATCTCCCAGTACCCAGGCATAAAGTCACCCATCTATCTCCCAGTAACCAGGCATAAAATCATCCATCTATCTCCTAGTACCCAGACATAAAATCACCCATCTATCTCCTAGTACCCAGGCATAAAATCATCCATCTATCTCCCAGTAACCAAGTGTAAATAAGTAAAAGATAATATTTACAAAGAGAGATAAAGATATTTTTGTATTATATTAGGGTACTGTACTTGTTAGTTGTGGTATAGCTAGTAAAAAAAACCCCAGGAAATAAGACTTTAATTTAGAGAAGAAGAAGAAAAAATAGTTGTTTTTTGGTGTATGGTACTGATGTTTGGTCGCTGTGAGAGTTTGTATGACTGATGTGGGGTAGAATGGATGGCTTACAAGGTACAGTTTTAAATGTGATGGGTTTAAGGTTTAGTAAATACCTCATTCCAAAAAGTATCTTTATTGAGGTGTCTGATAAATTTCAAAATAAACACCGCAACTCCTGTTGTCTCAGTAGAGTTGTCAAAATCCTTTCTTCGTCTGTTGTGGTGTTGTATTTAAACAAAATCATAAAGATACGTTTGGAGTGTGAGTATAATACTGTATTTTCAGAAAGGGTAAGTGAAGGCTTAATAAGATGATGACCAGGTTTAAGAAAGGAAAAGTGAAGGATTAATAAGATGATGACCAGATTTAAGATACAGTATAGTATAAGCGAAACTGTTGGAGATGATAACTACACTAATGAGACCAGTGACTTAACAACTAGTGACATCAATTAAAATCATTACAGATAACAACTATTAAGAAGCAATGATCGATACAAAGATAAAGGTAATGAAGTAAATAAACACCTCAAAGCTGAAAATGAAAAGGATATTTTCGACACTGTGTTATATAAGGTTATGGCAATCTATATACACTTCTGCATCTTAATTTTTGAATGACAATACAAGAATACAATTACACACTTTGAAGAGTTGTTTAAGCATTAAAGAAATTAGTGTTGTTCAGTAAAGATGAAATTGTTTTCTATTGTATCTCCCAGTACTAAAATCCCCTGCACCACCTCATTCTACAACCAAAATACCTAGGTGACTCTGTTAACCAAGCTGCTTCTGGTTGTTACCTTACAGTTAGTTTTGTCAGAATGATTTTTTTTTTTAACTTATGAACATATTTATCATGTTACAAGGTATTAGCTGATGTAAAAGTAATTGGAAATAGACATCTTTATATAGTGAAACCTCTATTTAAGGGACTGTATGGAGATAAAAGTCCATTATATCGAGGGTTCGTTAGATGTGAAAACCCCCAACTAATGAACTATATGGAGAGAGAAGTCTGTTATATAGAGGTTTCACTTTACAGTTAATTTCATGATTGGCTTCAGGTTGGAATGTTGTAGGAATATTCTTGATAAATTGTATAACCTGTACAGTACCTAAGTTTCCTGCACAGTTCAAAGGAAATCCATCATACTGTAATTATTGTATTGTAACCAAGTACTGTAACAAGCTATCAACAGTAGCCATTTCCATCTTTTAAGTATACCTGTACAGTATATGTTACAAGTGCAATGAATTATATATATATTAGTATACAGATGTAGATTAATCATAAGCCCACAGAAATACATGAAAAGTTAAAACACATCAAGAATAATGTGTACTGTATATCACAGAAGAGATTGGTCAGGTTGCCCTTCTCAAGATAAATGGTAATATTTCTTGGTTCAGCGTATAGTTTGTAACGTGCATGAATAAGATTATGAATGGCCACGTTATTGTCATTAAAGAACCAACTCCTTTGTTATAGAAAACTAATCACTACTTTTTACCTAGTGTGAATATTGAGCAGTGTTCAAGACATGTAACTACTGTACTGTATGTAGCTTGAAGTAGCAGGATAATTTCATTGCTCATAGCAGTCTTAAAACAGATTCAGCAATAGGAGGTGCATCCAGCCATAAAATCCTGTGCTTCAGAATTGCTTGAAGGGACCCAGGAAATCTTGCCCTAAGGTAATCACGGATAGCCCACACAAGCTGGAAAATGGCTGCAAAATGGTGAGGAGAAGGATGATGATTATGAGGAGAAACTATTTAATTCTATCATCATATTATCTGTGATTATGCACCAGTCCAAGATCTGTTTAATCCCCAAGGTGCCTCTTAAGTTTTAATCTTGTTTATTCATTATGAAGGCTCAAAAATAATAACTTGTGGACAATATTTTGAAAGTAATTCAAGCCTTAGATTTTTTTAGATATACCCTATACTGTACTGTACTTGTGTGTATATATATATATATATATATATATATATATATATATATATATATATATATATATATATATATATATATATATATATATATATATATATATATATATATATATATATATATATATATATATATATATATATATATATATAATTTGTTTCTTACAAATTTCTGCCAATTCCTTAGAATATACAGTTAACTATACCTGGTTCTCAAATGGCTGAACATTCTGTAATAGGATTTCTTGAACATTCCATGGTATCATTGCCAGTCCTCAAATTGGAATTGGTGAAAATATCCTCATTATAATCTCCAGTTAGCTAATGATTATTGATAACTATTGTCCAACTGTCATATTTGAGGACCAGTGATGCATAAAACTTGATAGTGCCGTGACAATGATGATGTAAACGTGTATGCCTTGTATGTTGTCTATTGCCGCAGCAGCTTCAGGCCCTTCCCCACCTTTGGGCTGCCATTCATTCATTCTCTGTAACTGTCTTGCCAGAAATTCAGAAATTTGATCACCTGAAGATCACCCCTTAGCTTATTTCACCTTAAGATTAACGACCCTAATGCTTTCTTAACATATTATATCCTAACCTAACCCCTGCAGGCAGCATTTGGGTGTTTAATCATCAGGTGAAATAAACTGTGGGCTAATCTTCAGGTGACCCCAGGTTTTCCTGCTATGGTACT